GTGGTTCAGTGCAGTCCATTCTCATTCTTGCTGTAACCGGTGACATGTGAAGTGTGTATGTGTGTATGTGTGTGTGTGCTGCAGTCCGGGTGGTTCGGTGCAGTCCATTATCATTCTTGCTGTAACCGGTGACATGTGAAGTGTGTATGTGTGGATATGGGTGTGTGCTGCAGTCCGGTAGTACAGTTCAGTTCCTTCTCACCTGTGCTGTAACCGGTGACATGTGAAGTGTGTATGTGTGTGTGTGTGTGTGTGTGTGTGTGTGTGTGTGTGTGTGCCGCAGTCCGGGTGGTTCAGTACAAGTCCCTTCTCACCTTTGTTGTAACCGGTGACATGTGAAGTATGTATGTGTGTGTGTGTGTGTGTGCTGCACTCCGGGTGGTTCAGTACAAGTCCCTTCTCACCTTTGTTGTAACCGGTGACACGTGAAGTGTGTATGTGTGTATGTGTGTGTGTGCTGCAGTCCGGGTGGTTCGGTGCAGTCCATTCTCATTCTTGCTGTAACCGATGACATGTGAAGTGTGTATGTGTGTATATGGGTGTGTGCTGCAGTCCGGTAGTACAGTTCAGTTCCTTCTCACCTGTGCTGTAACCAATGACATGTGAAGTGTGTATGTGTGTGTGTGTGTGCTGCAGTCCGGGTGGTTCAGTACAAGTCCCTTCTCACCTTTGTTGTAACCGGTGATATGTGAAGTATGTATGTGTGTGTGTGTGTGTGTGTGTGCTGCAGTCCGGGTGGTTCAGTACAAGTCCCTTCTCACCTTTGTTGTAACCGGTGACATGTGAAGTATGTATGTGTGTGTGTGTGTGTGTGTGTGCTGCAGTCCGGGTGGTTCAGTACAAGTCCCTTCTCACTTTTGTTGTAACCGGTGACATGTGAAGTTTGTATGTGTGTATGTGTGTGTGTGCTGCAGTCCGGGTGGTTCAGTGCAGTCCATTCTCATTCTTGCTGTAACCGGTGACATGTGAAGTGTGTATGTGTGTATGTGTGTGTGTGCTGCAGTCCGG